TAGCTTAGAATCATAAATCTTGCTTTTTTATTAGTTTTTGCGTTATTGTATTTTAAAAAGTGTCCACAATATTCTGGAAGGCCTCTGTACATGAAGTAATGATTGCGAGTTGCATGGGAGGAAACTGTTGGAACCTGCCCCTAGAGGCAATAACTTTTCTTTGTCCCACTATCATTCACTTGCAAAAATAAAAACTTTATTGGTACTATATCGTATATACGTAATACAAATATATGATGCGAACATCGTATTGCTAAATACAGTATTTTTTTCTAGCTACACATTTATCATCACCACCCACACCCATACATAGCCATTTATTGCACCCACCCAAATATAATCTATGAAACCACCCATATATGACTAATGAAATGTTTATTACATGTATCTGATGCAGGAAAATCGGTACGTACGTAGTTCGTAATTTTATTGCTTTTTGGGTTAGTGAATTCTGTCTCGCCACTACGTGCCCTATGCCAAGATAAATAAGATTTGTTGCGTCTCAGTAGTGAAATTGGCACGTGCAGAAAGTTTGGCGTTTGGTAATTTTGGTGGTGTATTTATGAGCTTGCCAAGCAGGTGAATCAAAAATTCCTAATCCTATATATTAAGATTGCGTATTAACACTTGTTAGCGTTAGATTATGCTTGGATTCACCATGCGAGGCAAAAAGAACATTTATCCACAAACTCCATTGCCTTTTATACTTTTGAGGTGCCGTCTCCTATTTACCAAAAAATCAAGAACCTGCTGAAAGGAAAAATATGATGTGTTGCGTAGTAACGATCCGTGCCTACAAATCATATATATAATAACGATTCCAGAAAAAATACTTTATTGCTTGTCCACGTAATGCAATAATCCCGCAAATTCTGATTTACCATTCCGCCCCATACTAATTACCTACCCGTATGACATGAGACAGCAAAAAATAGCGTGTATCTATAACAATAGCCACCTGAACCGCAACAATAACCACCCTGAATTACGCTGTGTGGACGTAGTCTCTTGTCACAAATTACAATAACGATAATCGTTAGTAAAAGTGAAGATAGTGATTTTTTTATGATATCGATATTGATTGCACGTCGTTCACGGTATATAACAGAATATCATCTCGAAAAATCTCACTTTCCGACACAAAAGAATTCCAAAACAGTCACAGCGATAGTTGTGTGACCAATGAAAAAATTGTTACCACACTCGGTAATCCTCACTCACTAACGTTCTGATCTATATGCTAAACAACTTGTACAGGATTTAGAATTCAAACAAATCTGTATTCCTCAAGGAGGACGACTTCAACAATTGGAAACCTATTTTTAATCTAATCGCTCTACTGCAAACTTTTCAGCAGAATTGGAGCAAACTATTCGTAATTATAATGGAGAATCCAATCAATTTTATCCAGTATGCTGCGATGCAATTTGAGGTAGCATTCAAGAAATTCAAAGATCATTTACCATCACAACTTATTTGCTGCTGCACGTTATTTAATCTGACTTGGAGAATTGGAAAGAGATATATCGATATGTAATTATTCGGATATTCATAAATTCGCAACACCTACTGATGAAATTTTACTGTCAATATCGATACGTACATGTATTGCATTTTACATATGCGTGTACATTTATAATAAACTAACATTTCCCCTAAATATTAACCAATATATTATAACTACAAAAAAGCGAACATGGCAAAAGCCAAAACACCGACAGTACTAGCAGCCAAAAAGAATGATCCAAAGATTCGTCTTAACAACGATGTGGATGAGAAATTAGGTTTCTTGTATAAAACCATCCATTTAAATAACTGCATTTTTGAATCAGTGTACGGCGGATATCGAACACTTAACGCCTTCTCTATATAGAAAGGAGTTTTCAGTACGCTGCGTTCGTGTGAAAACGTGTCAAAAGATTTCTTGCCGTGATAACTTCCCATTCCGGAATTTCCTTTGCCGCCGAATGGAATAGTCGGAACTATATTATTATTTATAGTGATCAGTGAAGCTGATAAGATTTAAATAAAATAAAATAATTTTTTTTACCTGCACCATGCATCAGACAATCATTTATACATACACCGCCAGATTGAACTCTGTCAAGTACTGTTAATAAATTCAGCATTATATAAATATTTTCTTAACTCGATTAGAAATCTAAAATATAAAACAGACTCACTATATTCAATAGTATTGTTATTACTGCTGAATGGATAAAAAGCCAACGGCACTTCCCCACTATTCACAAATTCAATAGCTTCATCGATATTATCGACAACCAAGATCGGCAGAATAGGGCCAAATATTTCACTTTCCATCAACGTGTCACCTTTTGGTACGTCAGCGACAACAGTTGGTGCAATGTATAAATCACTTCGGTCTGTATCACCACCAACCACTATTCGTCCTTTTGTTCCTTTGACAAGAGCTTGAATGCGATCAAAGTGTCGTTGATTGATGATTCGTGCATACGAGGTATTAGTTTGGATTTCTGTGCCTAGCATCTCGGACAAAGCTTTTGTTAAAGCTTCTATCAATGCTGATTGGACTGAACGTTCACAAATTATATAATCGGGAGCTATACATGTCTATTTTTGAAGTAAAGAGTCGGAATGCACACATAAAAAATCTTTAATCTCTTCGAAAAAATTCATTGCTTTTTTTTTATAAAACAAACCTGTCCACAATTGTAAATTTTAGCCCAGATAATACGCTTAGCGGTAATCGATATATCTGTATCTTTTAACACGATAGCTGGAGACTTGCCGCCGAGTTCTAATGTCACAGATGTTAAATGTTTAGCTGCGGCAGTCATGATAACTTTTCCGATGGTTGATGAACCAGTATAGAAAATGTGATCGAATCGATGTTCTAATAATTTAGTCATTTCCGCAGGTCCACCTTGTACGAGTCGATAGGCATTTTGATCGAGGTATTTCGGGAAGAGCTCGCCTAATAAATTGGCACAGTGAGGTACAGCTTCGGATGGTTTGCAAACTACGGTGCATCCAGCGGCTATAGCACCTATAAGAGGTGAGAGAGCCAAAAGAATCGGATAATTCCATGGGGCAATAATTAAAACTGTTCCTATTAAACAAAAATAAAAATAGAAAAGAATTTAATTATCTATCAATAAAAGATAAATCAATACGTTAATTACCCTTGGGTTCTTTTCTTATATAGGATGTACCCATTCTAAGTGATAATGGCAATGTAACTTTCTCCGGCTTGACCCATTCATCTAGATTGTTAACAATTTCGGTAATCTCTTGCTTTATAACAAACAATTCTCCAGTCAAAATTTCGGATTTAGGTTTCGAAAGATCTTTTACGAGCGCCTGAATAATTGGTTCTTCGTTTTCATGGACCAGCTTATAGAGTTGATGTATTTGACTTTTACGATATTCAATTGGTTTCGTTAGTTGTTCCGAGAATGATGTACGCAATTGTTGAATGATCTATTCGTATCGGTAGTTGATTGATTGATTTAAGTATTAATTAAATTTAACATTAACAAATTTATCGTTTCATATACTACCTGAGGAAATTCGTTGATTTTTGTATATCTGTTATCGTCCATTTTGAGTGGAGATGTAGCAGTGGTATATAGCAAAATGAACGACGACTACGTATATATGCTAATTCTGATTTGTTTACATGTGACAACTTTAAATGCTAATTCTGATTTGTTTACGTGTGACAATTTTACAGTAGTTTATTTTAATACAGATGTGTGACGATCTTATTATCACTTCAATAGAAAATAGCAACGGTTTTTGTCTAAGCCTCGTAAATCATGACGATGAGAAATTACATGCATAAAGTGGACCGTGGGGAAAAAGCAAAGAACCTAAAATGAGTTGGAGATATCGATGATTAGGGCACTGACATATATTACCAGCTCTACCCCACCTCACTGCCCTTAGTCATCGTAATTCGCATCTATGGGGTAACCCACTTTATAGTATACCCCCCCCCCCATTAATAAATTTCTTTTTTACTAATTAAATTTGTCCGTAGAATGAATGGTACCCAGTTGCGAATTACGGTAACTTGCCGTGTGCAAACAAAGCTTTAGAACAATAAAGTACATGTCAATAGACGAATAAAAACCAGTCCGAAAATTTTTCCCTGCATATTTGGATAAATTTTTATTATGAAGGTTCCACACTAATAATTTTTCACAGCACTTTTATTTAGATTGCACCAATAGTTCTGTGAATGAATTTTGTTATACATGTACATACAGTCTCCACAGAAAGTAATGGCAGTTGATTTTTTTTTAAGGAGCAGTTTCAAGAACAACTACACAAAAAATTTATTTCTGGAATGCCTCCGAGTGGGACATCGTGCTCATGTCGGTTCAGGCTTGAATGCCATTTGACATGTCAAAAAAATTATAAAAACTAAATTACTTGTAATGTTGTTCAACATCGATTAATTACGTATCGGTATATTTCGATTTATCGTCTTAAATAAATTCGATTTAATTTGAGGAATCGATTCTCACAAAATTACATGTATGACGATGATGACGACAGCGTACATAACTGGCCTTTGGTTTTGTTTCACTGCATGTTGATTTTCGAATAGTTGAAGTTGCGCTTTCGTTTGATTAGTTGAAATTACACTAAAAAATTGAGATCCATTTCATTACATACATTGTTTCATTTTGGCATTAGTATCACTACGTTCTTATTAGTTATTAAACCTTATCGTTATTGGCAATAGTTTTTTTATTATACATGTACATGAACATGTACATGTATTAACATTAACATTTTTTGTCGTGTAACGTTTGCTGTGTTTTTCACATTACACGTATGTATGTATTATCGTTATGCATTATCGTTATTAATCTATTTCGAAATTCTCAAATACGTACATGTATTGCAAAATTAATCGATTTTCAGAATCGAGTTCTATCCTTACCACGCACTCTTAAGAACAAGAGTAAGTCTTCTAAAAAAAGAAGAATGCCAAAAAATCAGTTTTTTGCTCTCTTGCAACAGAGTACGTAGTAACTACGACATAGTTTACAATGATGTGTTGAATCTACTTCTTGATTTGAAAGAAGAATTTGTATCGGTATTGAATAAAGAAAAGAATGGTGAGGACAATTATCGCGTGGGTGAATATGTTCGGGACTACTTAGAAGAGATTATGAATGGATTCACGATATAGAATTTAATTGGTTTTAATAAAACATGAATTAAGATATTAGTAAAAGTGACTCGAACCAATAATACACATATTTAATGTAAAAATATGTTATATTTTTAATGATAATATGATTTAAAAATAATAGTAGAAATATTACATTTGCGTAAATATACAAATTTTGAAATATAAATAAATGGTTCTTTCAATTTATATCGATACACATGTACATATTATCTTAATTGAAATTCCAGACATCTGAAAAAAGAAAAGGTCATTTTACGAGCATATTTACAAAAGCATCACTGATATACAACATGTGGTGATTATGTGGAGATGCTAAGTACGTATCAGTATCGGTATTGACTATGAATCTCCGTAATTCTTACGCAGTAATTACGGGATCCAAGTTTGGTGATGTAAAGATCCAGCTACATGAACAATGATGAATGTAAAGATGATAATCTACGCAAATTTATTCATGCCTTCTACGAAGTATTGCGTTGGGCTGAAAAATTTCACAATAAAAGATATGTGCATCACGACTTTCACTCTGGAAATATATTAATAAATTATAATGCTCTTATTGCCGATTTGAGACTTACCGGTCCAGCTAATTTAATCAAGAAATTTGCGGTATATGAGCCTAGAGATGCTAAATGGGAAGCCATACATTTATATCTTTGGGATGGTTATGTACGAGATTGTAACCGGCGAACAACAATTCTGTGGACGAAATCATGATGCATACATCGTATTTGACATCTATAATAATAAAGGAGTACGATACCAAAAAATGTTCCCAGAAAAAAGATCTACGTACTTTGTTAATTTTATTGATTCTATCTACATGTAACGGTAATATCCAGCGAGCTACAACGGATTGAACACCACATTTTCAGTACTACAACTCTTTAATGTACTAAAAATCAGTGTTTTAAATCAGTAAAACAGAGATTAGATAAACTTGATGCCGATAATAATATACAAAAAAAAACCATTCTCACAAATATACAGTAAACAAAAAATCAGTTTATATTAGTCGAATCTTTACAAAAAAAGAAAATTCAATTCCAGGTACTTTCTATTTCTAGTGCGAAATATAAATTAAAATTTATTTTGCATATTTAGGCTCTAAATGTGTTTGTTTGTATTCTCCAAATGAAGTGTCGGTTTGTATGTTCTAAACGAAACAAATGAAGGTAAAACACTATTTAATATTATTTTTCCAATAATGTCTTTAATTCATTACTATTTTGTTGATACAAACAGATTCAAATTAAGTACACCACCATATAAAATTAAAGAAGATAAACGAACCCATCCGTCAAAAGAAATTCATTTCAACCATGTCCTGCTATTAACACAGTCAAGTAAGTGACACCCGATTTAGCATCAATCATACAAAATGGTAATTAATTCATTTTTTCCTCTTCAGGATTAGCTACTCGAAGTTTCCGCTCTCTTTCTTCAAGCTTTAGACACGTTCAGTGATCCCCTTTACTTAGGAAACAAGCATTTGCTGTTGTTATAACGGATGCCAAACACATGATTACCATTGGAGACAATACTTCTATCCTGATTTTCTTTCTGAACACATTTATTCCCTTCTTCCGAAGGAGATACTGTCAGAGACGTCCGTGAAACCCCTCTAGTTCTTCCTGATTTAAGCGGTAAGGTGGTGGAGAAAGAAAATTAGACTTTATGGTCCCTCATGTAGCCTCTCGAAGAGAATACCACTATATTTTAAAATACAAGCCTCTTCGTCACAAATTTTTATAAAAAACAATATTGAATTTAATGTTTTTATTCATCTTAATAGTAATGAAAAATAATTTCAAAAAAAATGGGATTTTGAGATGAAAAAATGTTAGAATCACATAAAAGTTTATCTGTAACCTATTTATAATATGAGGAACAAGTTTACTTTACAAAATGTCTTGTTCGAAATTACTTTACTCTTTCCTCTTTAATTTTTTGAAATTTTTTTGAAAATTGCAGACAATTTAAATAATAAAATATACTTTTCAGTATTAAGCCGTGTAAAAAAAATAATCAGGCAAAAATACAATTTTTTATTCCGGAAAACCACAGGACAGGTCAGGTTTAGTTTTAATTTTGTGCAAAAAATTTATAAATTTGATCCAGACGCGATATCTCGTGATCCACATGTTCGATCCGGATGAAAATACACCATTCGGTTCGTCAAGACTAGACGAATCGAATGGTGTATTTTCATCCGGATCGAACATGTGGATCACGAGATATCGCGTCCCAAAGTTTTCCGTTTTTAATCAGATTCTAATAATATTATATAAATGCATTATTTCCAAACATACATCATTAAATTCACCTAGTTTTGGTGAATTCAATGTTAATAATTTTTACAAAAATGGTCTGGTAATTCATATGATATCATCATGTTTCAAAGTTGCTGAATTTTTTAAAAAAAAGTTATTTTAATTTGGAACACTTAATTTGAAGCATGATATCTCATGACTCACCAAGCCAGGTATCACCAAAATTCAGCCACTATTACACTAAATCTCAGTAAATATGTGGTTTTTTTATCCAATTTGGTTCAATGAGTCATAAGATATTAATCCATTTTTGAAAAATGGGGAAATAAAAAATTGGTACGGTAACTTTGGGACATGATATCCACGGGTCCAATAATATCATCATTCGATTCGTCTAGCCTTAACGAATCGAATGGTGTATTTTTTGTCTGGATTGTATCAGTGAATCATGAGATACAGTGGCTCACACATGTAACCGAACACGAAAATTAACTTTCTAGCATTTTTATTTCCATGACTATTAGTT